TCGGCTGTCTCTCGGCTGTCTCTCGACTGTCGGGGGCTGTCCCTCAGCTATCTCTCGGCTGTCCCTCGGCTGTCCCTCGGCTGTCCCTCGGCTGTCTCTCGGCTGTCCCTCGGCTGTCCCTCGGCTGTCCCTCGGCTGTCTCTCGGCTGTCCCTCGGCTGTCTCTCGGCTGTCTCTCGGCTGTCTCTCTGTCTCTCGGCTGTCTCTCGGCTGTCTCTCGGCTGTCTCTCGGCTGTCTCTCGGCTGCCTCTCGGCTGTCTCTCGGCTGTCTCTCGGCTGTCTCTCGGCTGTCTCTCTGTCCCTCGGCTGCATCTCGGCTGTCCCTCGGCTGTCTCCCTCGGCTGTCTCTCGGCTGTCTCTCGGCTGTCTCTCGGCTGTCTCTCGGCTGTCTCTCGGCTGTCTCTCGGCTATCTCTCGGCTGTCTCTCGGCTGTCTCTCGGCTGCCCCTCGGCTGTCCCTCGGCTGCCTCTCGGCTGCCTCTCGGCTGTCTCTCGGCTGTCCCTCTGCTGTCTCTCGGCTGTCTCTCGCCTGGTCGGCGACCACACACACCACGTACTCTGGCGCGTGCACGTGCCCGTTGCCCGTCTTGACGAGGTACCTGTTCACAGCCAGAGGCGTGAAGAGACGCCGTTCACAGCTCCCCTCCTTGCCCCGTCTGTGAATGAGGCGCACCCCTCCAGCCTACCCAACTCAAGAATGGGCCGCCGTGAGGACGACCGCACGTGAGAGAGGCCTTCTGACGCAACAGCCCTCGAGCCTATCCACTCAGAGCCAGCACAGTGGCCGCGAGTGCCCGCTCCTTCCGTCGCGACGCACGTGCCGCTGCGAGCCGGCTCGGAAGCGACGCGGGCGCGGCGGCGCGGCCGTAAAATGAAACGCGGCTTGCAGCAGCGGCCGGCGGACGTACATCGACTTGAGCAGCTCGAGCAGCTCCTGTTCACAGCGGCGACGGTGTGAACGCGACGCTGCCCGCACGCGCAGCGCGCCGCCGACCGCCAGCAGCTCCTTGCGCGTCAGCGCTCTC